GTTAATAAAATTTTCGAATACAATTTTGTGGTCAGAACTCTGGTACATTTTAAATAACATTATGTGACGAAAAGATGTAAAAAAAAGATATATCTATACTAAACAAAAAATAGATATTACCGTGATTACAAGTACACGTAAGCACCAGCACAATAAACTCGTAGATACAGATAAATTCATACATGCTCGTTGGGACACGTAAGTATTCTAACGCGCATCTTGATGGCATTGGATAGTCCAATATAATGTCCTCATTTGTTCCGTTAATCTGATTATCTTGACCATCAGGTAGATCTTCACCAAGAAGAGGAATTAATGAATATATCGTTACACTAATGTAAGAGAAGCACATCATAAAACAGGAGAGAATTCTTCCCATAAAGGCGTGTTTTCGCATGATGGCACGATACTTTGTGTTTTCAATCGTCAAATAATCATTCTGGGCAGAACTGTAATTGTCAGTTAAGTTTTTCGCGTAAATACGGAAACATATAGTCTTTACCACTCCGAGTACACCGCAACAGGCTAACATGAGACCGTCTATATTTTGCTCCGTGTTAGTACAGCCCATGTGAAACTCCATGGAAGGCAAGATCACTATTATGCTCTGTTGATATGTGTAAACGATATATTTTCTCATTCAAACAGCTTTTGTGTTTAGGAAAAATATGTCCCAATTCCAGATCGACGGATCTTTGAAAATATTAAAATTTAATTACAGGATAATTTTTAGAATTGAAACAAATAAGCTTCCATTTTAGCTTTTTACGTATATATGTAAATAAAAATACATTAGAATTATCTGAACTAATTTAAAGGTATGTAAAATTGAACACTTCACTTTAATATTAAAATGTTTACAAGATAAACTAAACACCAATGAGAACTATAAGATAAAGTTATTATACAATAGATAATATAACAGTTATATATAAATTTTTCCGTATTATAAAGATAGAAATTTAATAGAAATAATATAATAATGAAAATATTTCTCTAATTTTATTATATATGTAAATTTTATTCATTTAATTTGTTTTCTATGTATACCTATTTCTTTTGATACGATATTACCAAAAGAATGTTTCATCAATGCAATTCTTAAATGTAATATAAATAACGAAATAATAAAATAAGCAATATAACACGTACTATCTCTAAAATTTCTCGGAAACAGTTGCGCTACTCTTGACATAAACAAGAATTAAATCATAAATTCTAATTAGAAGTGTTTATTGAAAAATGTACAATAGCTAATGATAAACGAAAAGTACAAAGGACATTGTAAGAGTCATGTGAAATAAAATTTAAAAAGTTAGATAAAACGTAACAGTCATATATAATAAAATATCATGTTACAAAATTCTGAACTATACATTACTAAAAAAAAAATTACAAAGTTCTATAAACTACTTAACGTTTCGGCTCTCGGATTAAGCCCTCCTCAGAAGTGACATGATAACTCTTATGCCTGCTAATGATATGTGTATATATCTATTATATTTTATATGAATGAGTTACTACTTTTGAAAAAAAAAAACGTATTTTGTTACGTCATCAGTATATCTATATATAGTTAAAAATTTAAACACTTAATACTATTATCGACATCAATGAAGTTTTAATTCAAATATTGGGATGTTAACGTAAAAGTGACAAAAATCGTCGAAATTGAGACGATACCATGCAACAAGTGACCAAGACACATCGTATTAGCGAATAGATGTTATAAACTTGAAGTGGCCAAAGGCCGACGGGCCACGTTAACAGTTTGAAGGGAGTCATCGCATACGCAACATCGTTCTTCCATCGTTCACTTGCCATTAGATCGACGTAATAACTGTAACTGAGAGATGCCAATATAACCAATAATGTACTGGATACATCGACACAACGCAGGTATTACGATTCATTTTTTATTCAACTCGAAACATATACCCGCTTATCAACGTACCTTCACTTTCTTCATGCATTATCAGAAAATGCAGGATATTATGTTTTTATGCCAAATTGTCTTTGGAGAATTTACGTAACCATTTCTTCTAAATTGTTGCGATCATTGAATGGCTATACCTTTTACTGTATGCAGAAACTGACAGACCGTTTGCTCGAACAATTCAGTCATTATGTTACTGTCTGCGTAGAAAATTTTGTTTCAGTTTTGCGATGACATACCGTTATTGATTAAATTTGACAATTTTTTCTGTTCAAAAGTGATATAACAGGTGAGTTATACATATATCTCTTTTTCA